ACTTTGTAGTCTGTTCTAATTCCACAATTCTAACCTCAAGCTTATTTTTTTCTTTTGCGATCTGTTCCAATTCTGCGTTTCTAGCTGTAAGTCTGGCATTCTCCTGTTTTAACAAATCTAGTTCGGATTGCATGTTTAATGATAACTTTTATATATCAATAATGTATTTAAAATGAGAAACCACATGTCTAACAAAAAACCGTTTAACAAATACAAATATCAGTTTATTTTTCAAGTAGTAGGTAGTACAAATTTTAGGCTACACAGCAATTTTATAATTATTCATCCAGTTGAAATAGGGTATTCGCGAACGAAAGTCGTGATGGTCTCGGTTCGGTTCTAGCTAGATCAAAGGATTCGGTAACATTTCGGACCAATAACTAAAATTCATAAAAAGTATGTAAGATAAAAGGAAGTTAAATGTCAACGAATATTCTGTATTAATACATACTGCCCACTTCAGTACACATTCGTAAAAATAAACGAAATCTTTCATTTCGGAAAATTTTCGAGGAAGATTAGAGTTATCAACCTCATTTAATCTATACGTTCCTAAATTAATATTTGGTTCAAATTATCAGTATCTTTTTTATAATAAATTTTTAGTAAACGAAAGTACATACCACGGTAATCAATATAAAATAAATGTATTCGAAGACGAAAGCTTTGGCCCCCAAATACATATAACGTACTCGGCAGACGCCTTCTGTTTTTAACAATATCCTTCACAATTTCTGCAAACATCTTCTTCGAATTACTTGTTATTTTTTCTAGATCATTAATTTCTTTATCGTTCTTTGCTACCGGCCTCGAACCTTCCACGTAGACGAGCTGATACTTATCAGCATCTGCCATGAATCCTGCGCCGTCTGCACGATTCCTGTTAACATGTTTTTTCGATGTAATTTCTCCATACTCGTAATGTACATTTGCTATATACCATAAAAAGGCGTCGAAACATGGATGAACAAACGAATTAAGATAAGCTCCTTCAATTGTTGAAATGTTTAAAAGAGGATTTTGATCCTCGAGTGAAAATGCCTTAATACTGTGCAAAAGAAAATATTAGAACAAAATCCGAAAAAAATAGATCAATTAATGACTAACATACAATTGCGGTAAGGTACGACGTATAACTCTCACTACTGCAGTCATCACGGGATCATTCGGTTCGGGAGATTTTAAATCGTCGATTTCACAGTGCCATTCTTTGGCGCTTAAATTTTTCGAAAAAAATTTCACAAGAAAATCATGTACAATTTTAGGAACCAATGATTCAGTCACGGTATCCATCTCCATTAAATATGATCTTGCTGTCGGTTTTGGAAGTTTTTTGAAAAAGGGTGAGTTTAGTCGAAGATCAATTAGAACACCATCAGGATCTTGTTCTTTATAAATCGAAAAAATTTCTTTCGTAGCATCTGAGTAATCGATAGTGTTTCCTAATATGTCGGTTATCTGGTAGAAAAAAATAAAATTTGTTAAATCTCTTAGTTAAAATAGATTGTTAAATTATTATTAAATACTTACCACATCATCTCAAATAGGTTTTTTCTTACTATTTTCTTGAGAATTAATGTCCAATCCCGTCTCATTTCTTATTTCTTGAAGACAACTTTCAAGATTATTGTCATCCCCTTCTGTTGCTTTCTGTTCATTTTCTTGGGAGGAAATATCATCATCTGTTGCTTCAAAAAATCCTTGATAATTCGGTATATTTCTCCCGCTTTTCGTTTGACGTCGTCTTTTCTCGTCCCGGTCTTTGTCCTAAAGTATTAAAACATAAAATAATTATACCTGCTGATTTATTCTCGATTTTTAGTTGAAAATATTTATCAGTACCTCTTTCTGATCACTTTCCGGTCTTCTTTTTGATGTAGTATCAGATAAATTAAAATAAGTATCACCCCAGAGTTTCCTACACTTCCTATCGCAAAAGTTGGGCTATGAAGCTGAAGCGAAGGTAACTTGTGAGCTTCGTTCCAATTTCTTGCAGAACAATAGTCTGGTTTATCATCCTAGAAACATTTTGAAGGATTAGTAATGTTATAATTATATTTTTCATTCAATTTATCCCATCAGGTCAGCCCACAGCCTCAAACAGAAAGAGGAAACCTTACAGGTCTCTTCCCGTCCCGATGGGGTCAGTGTCAAAGGCCGTACCCCCGACACCAACTTTGTGGCTCGCCCCGCAGACTTGAATGATAAGAGCCCCACAGACCCCTACCACGCCACAACACATTTCAAACAAATAATTAAAATTAACTCGCCTGTCTATATCTATTAAGTAAGTGTTTTGCTCGTTCGCCCTTTTGTCCTTTATAAGTATCGGAAATTAATTCAAGAGACTTAAGGTAAGCATATATCTTTTGGTCAAAGCCTTGCAGATTACAAAAGTCTAGAAAATCTCTGATATTCCACTCAGAGAAGTCTCGATTAAAGTATTCATGTACTAAATCTGCCTTTGCCTTTGGTGCCTACGAAAGAAAAAAAGTTCAGTATTTAACTTTAATATAAGGTAAACTAATTAACTTCAGTACCATAGCTGTGAGTTATCTGAACGGCTGACGAAAAAATATTAATCTTGTTTTTACTAGCTGACAGTCAAACAGTTTAGACGTTGCCAAAAAACAGATCTTGTTTATACTTTAAGTCACGCGATAGAAACCGTGACAAAGTGTCACGATTAATCATCATGCGACATCTAATTTGAATATAACTTTATTTACATAGTAAAGAAATGGCAGTTCCTTTCCCTACCCCGCATTAGCTAATATCGTAATTATCTTTACCATTATTATTGTTATTGTTATCATAAATTATTAGTTCTGCTACCGCTACTGCTACTCAAAAAATTATTTCTAAAAATGCCAAGAAAATTATTCCGGAAAAATAAACACATGCTTTTGAACGAACCCCCTTCGCTGAAATTTTGCCAAGAAAAATTCAGAAAAAATAAATTCGGGAAAAATAGCAATACAATAAAATAAATCTAGTTCGGATTGCATGATTAATATACACACTCTATCGATTCCGTGATCGTTCCCTGATCGATCATATAATTTAATATAATGTAATATAATCACGATTTTCATCATCCACTTTCATTCCGTGATCGTACCCTGATGCAATTAACCAGCGAGTAAAAATTATTCTGGAAATAAACACGTGATTTGGACGAACTCTTCATCAAAAAAAGTTCGCTGAAATTTTGCAAGAAAAATAATATATACATTACACAAAAAAATAACACATGATACTTTGTACGTTCCTCTAACCAAAAATCTTTATTAATAAAAAATACAGGATAAATATATGATAAAAATACAGGATAAAAATGCGTGATAAAATATATGCTATAAAAGTATATAATAAATACAAAATAAAATCTATCTATTTATGGGATGGAGATGTTACTGTGGGACTTTGAGTAGCATTTCTTGGCGGACGTGTATTGGCTT